GAGCGGAAAGAGATACATACGCTCTGCATCAACTGCGCTGATTCTCGGATTGATTCTTGGATTCTTGCAAGCTGTTTTCTTGATTTTCAGCTCAAAGGGACTTCTAGGGATCATGGGGGTGAAGCAGGTAAACTGCAGAAATATATTTACATACTGCCTGTCAAAGCATATATATATATATCAAAAAATTTAATATATGACGTGAAAAATGCGTAAATTGTATTTAAATGGATCAGAATTCGCCCATGTTTCCACCGGCGAAGAAGTACCTGACGTTACGCTCTCTGGGCGCTCCAGCCGTTCTTCTCTCGCTTGCCATGCAAGGCATCTTCCGCGGGTTTAAGGACACCAGAACTCCTCTCTATGCCACTGGTATGATGAGTGAAATTATTTTAGAATTTTTTAAACAATTATAAGAACCGAATTTGATATGAATCTTAACATGTTGTAAACGTAATCGTGTCTGAATTCATTTTCTGAATCACAACAGCTGTTAGGGTTTTATCTTCCATCTCTCAAACGGACAATGAAACTACGTAATCACATATGCACAATTGACTATATTTTTTTTTTCCCAAATATCAATTAAAGTGTTGATTTTCATATGATTATTGAAAGTAATCATCGTAAGTTTTCACGTGAGGATCTAACGCACGTGTCACGTGTCTCGTCAAAAAATGCAGTTGCTGGAGATCTGATGAATGTCGTGCTGGATCCGATCTTCATTTTTGTGCTGCGTCTTGGCGTCAGTGGTGCTGCCATTGCTCATGTTCTTTCTCAGTAAGTTTTTCTTTTTCGAATTTATATCGGACTTTTAATAATGTCACGTAATTACATGTATTGGTATAGATATTTTTTCATGTAAATGTCAGGTAATTTCAGTTTTGGGTCATTATGAAAATCTAAATGCAAATAGAATTTGTTTTTTATATTATGTACACAAAATTTTAATACAGTATAGATCAAATATTTATGTAGATGTAGCTGCATGTTATCTGCAATATTGATGCTTCATTTTGTGGGCAGGTACTTGATATGTCTGATTCTGTTCCTCCGTTTGGCAAAGAAAGTCAAACTGATGCCACCGAGTCTCGGCGATTTGCAGTTCAGCCGATTCCTCAAGAACGGTTTGATACATATATACACTCTTCCATATGATCATATATAAGATATATATATGATCCGAATCTGACACTTGTTACATTGAAAATAGGGTTTCTGCTTCTTGCAAGGGTTGTGGCAGTGACATTCTGTGTGACCTTAGCTGCATCAATGGCGACTCGTCTCGGTTCAAATCCTATGGCGGCCTTCCAGATCTGTTTACAGGTCTGGTTAACGTCTTCGCTTCTTGCTGACGGTCTTGCCGTTGCTGGTCAGGTACTGATTAATTTTTGTACACACTCGTAAATCTTCGTTTAGAACGTAGGGATGTATCGACGACGAAGGAGTTGCGTATATACGTGTTTTCGTATGAATATAATACGATATTCCTGGTTTGAAAATTCCCATTTTCAGGCTATTTTGGCTTGTGCATTTGCTGAGAGGGACTACAACAAGGTGACTGCAGTTGCTTCTCGTGTTCTACAGGTATGTGTACATGCATGCATGCATGCATGCATGTATGTATGGTGGGTGTATATATGTGTATTTTTAATAGATTTATGACAAAACAAAGATAATATGAAACTGAAACAAAATTCTGGTATTTGCAGATGGGTTTTATACTAGGATTGGGACTGGCACTTTGTACGGGACTGGGTCTGTACTTTGGTTCCGGAATGTTCTCGAAGGACCCTAATGTCATTCACTACATAACCATCGGCATACCGGTAATATATACATACATACATACATACATATATATATTTATTAGCAATATAATATAATAAATAAAATAATAATAATCAGGATATTAATTCGTTCCAATGGTTGCATCATCAGTTTGTGGCGGCGACGCAGCCCATAAATTCCTTGGCCTTTGTGTTTGACGGAGTCAACTTTGGAGCGTCCGACTTTGCTTACACTGCTTACTCTATGGTACTAATCAATTAAATTATATTGTTTTCAATTAATTAATTAATTAATAATCTGAATAATTAATTTTTATTTTTAATAAAACAGGTTGCAGTTGCGGCAGTAAGTATTGTAGCAGTGATATTTCTGGCGAAGAGCAGTGGGTTTGTTGGAATTTGGGTGGCCCTTACCATCTACATGGCCCTTCGAGCCATTGCTGGAATTGCAAGGTACACTTTTTTTTTTTTTTATTATTCTGTTCTGTGATATTTGAGAATCACCGTCAAT